TAAAACTTTCTCTTCGCGATTCCCACATGCACGTTGATAACGTGAGCCCGGCTGCTGTTGGTACTGCTGCTACCTCGAGTGCTGAGAGGGCAGTGCTCTCCTTCCCTCACCTGCGGCTCTTCCCTTCGCCCGCCCCCCGAGCTGCTCTGTGGGCCCACCTTGCCATGTGGGGCTAGGAGGGGCGCAGCCATTCTCCGCAGCGGGAAGCGCTAAACATGGAGGCGGCGTGCAGACCCGACGGCGGGGAGCAGGGCCATCCGGGCAGTGGTGTGGATGCCCCTGGGGACGCTTCTATGGACTGCTACTTGCGATCTCAGGGCTTGTACAGGAAGAGAGTTGCCAAGGATGGATCTTGCCTTTTCAGGGCTGTGGCTGAGCAGGTAACTTCTTACAAAAACAAAGCTACTTCACATGAAAGCATGGGAAGTGGATCTCATTAGTGGGTGATAATTAGTGTTAGAATGCAGACACGTATAGGTTAAGGTTACACAGTCGTGTGCCGGGGGAAAAAAAAACCCTGTACCTTGTGGGGTTGTTGAGAGAAGTTCTGTGTGTACAGCCTTCCTCTGTCATCGAGAAATTGGTACCTGTTCTGAGCTTCCACTGCTGCCTCAGAGCTTTGCGCAGATTTTGGCATTTGGGTACAGCTGCTTTGTGTGAAACGGAATTTGGTGGAAAGAGCTGAAAAGCCTTGGTCTTAGTTCTGTTAATTTACTGTAAAGTTAATAATTTATTTTCAATAATTTGTTTTCAGTTCTTCCTGTCGAATTTCCCTCCCCATTTCAGTGTTATTGTCAAAGGAAAAAAGTGACAGCGTCATTTTGTCTTAAATGCAAACAGCAGTGGGAGCTCTGGTGCTTCTGGTTGTTGGAGCCTGGATTCCTTTGCTAATTATACACAGTTCACTTTTTAAAATTACTTTCCCCACTGAATTTATATATTCAGGCAAGCAAAAACTATTGATCTGAAGTGAGTGGCATCTTGTATTTCAAGGGAATAATCATTGAATATACATTGGTGTTCTGATGTTTTTAATATCTATAGCCAGTTTCTCCCACACTGTGTATATAGAACTTATTCCAACTATTAATTACATTTTTAACATCCTTATTTTATTAAAGGGAAAGTATTTAATTCAGAGTTAGTATTTGTTTATCCACAAGTGTGAACTAATCTCTGTACTGTTCGTGCAGGAAAATTAACTGGTCTGACTTTGGAGGTGTTTTAAATTGAGGATAGTGTGTAAGGATTGCAGGAGAGACTGGAACTTCCCCCTGTTGAGTGTGCAGGCAATGTCATGTTAGAGAGAACTCTGAACCCCTGATGAAAGTAATATCTTCCCAGTAGAGGTTTGAAGAGGAGACAGAATGCAGGTTTTGTACTGATCTGAATTCGTGGCTTCCAAAGCCGTATTTAGGCAACAAACCTATACCTCTTAAAGTCCAGAGAAGGTAAACCTGCACTATCTTAGATTTGTTGGGATTTCATTTGAATGAGTGCCTGTTGGTAGTTGATTTCCTCATCCACTCCTGCGGTGACTTATTTCTTCGATGAATTATTCTAATTCTTTTAGAAAGGAGCTGGCTAGGGAATGACTTTCATTTTGCTTGGTAAATCCTCAAAAATTTCAACATTTAACTTTAGTAAATCTGTGAATTCTGCAGTTACTTATTTTTTCATTAAGTGATTGAGGTTTCATTTGCATAAAGATGCTGTTAATGAATGAGTTTAAGTATTTAAAAAAAAAAAAAAGTATTTCCAAGCCTGTATTTGAACAACAGTCACTAATTATTTGTGACCCCTCACCAAAACTCCTAAGAACCAGTGTCATTTTCTTCTTTCTTCCTTTGTAGGTGTTACACTCTCAGTCTCGGCATATTGATGTTAGGATGGCTTGTGTAGACTATCTTCGGAAAAATAGGGAGAAATTTGAAGCAGTAAGTATCTTTGTTTTCATTGAGAGAAATGTTACTTCATTCCTTCCAGTTTTCCAAGGTGTATTCCGCCATTTGTGGTGGTATTCATCACAGGTGTACACTAACCGATGCTTTTTAGAGTGCCTGCTCTTTAAATTAATTGGCACATGTGGTAGTAACTCATTTTCATAAGCCTGAAGAAAGACCTGTATACTGGGTGCGGAGATGTGGGGTGGAAAGAGTTTTTAGTGCTCATTAAAAAACAAACCAAACTTTCTTAAACTTTAATAGTCTGTAGTGGAGCTATGAAAATCTGGATGTTATTCTAGTATAATGCCTATTTTAATGAAGGTCACAAAATGTTCCTGTTTTGCTGTTTAATTGCTTTTACAATATATAAGGGATTTGACCGATGAGATTAGTGAAATCTGTTTTAGGGTCTGCAGCTTATTATGAGTTGCCACTGTGGTGTGGTGGTGTGGGGTTTTTTTATTTTTGGGTCTTAAACATCTGTAGGAAAGTGCTTCATCAACTATGGACATAAAATATTTTGATACTGATCTGCATTTGGCCCATGTCATCAGTGTTAACGTTGTAAAAATTCTTCTTTTTTTTTTTCATTCTGTTGAAAGAGTAATAATAAATAACGGTGCTCCTGTTTGTGTTGTATGAGTTCTAGTGTATACACCATTTAACTGCTTTTCAGAACAACCAACACAGGAGTAGCATTTGCTACTAGAGGGTTATTACTCAGCTCTCTTTCTGTTCTAAATTTACCCAGACCCAAAATAAAAAGCCTGTTTCAGATGCACGTTGGCACAGGGAAGAGAAGGAAAGCAGGAATAAGAGTGTGTGCATATGCTGTAATTTCTGACAAAGTGCCCTATGCTCAGATGTGATCGATCACTTCTTATGTGGAAGTTGCTGGGAATGAATGACATAACATTCAGAGAATCTTTCTGGCAGAAGACAGCTCTGACTTGACTATTTCCAGTTGCGAGGCCTGTTTGTTTCAAGTCGTGTGAGGACTTACCGACTCTTAGATCTTTCTCCCTTCTTTTTTATTTTATTTTTTCACTGCCGATTTGTTAATCCCTTTCTTTCCAGAATTACCCCACTCACTCCAATTCCTGTTTCTCTACTGTTTTTTTGTTGCATTGTGTAGTGTGTGTTGTTTTGGGTGTGGTTTTTTTTTTTTTTTTAAAAATATCATGGCCCTTCTTGACTCTAAATGTGTGTTGTTTCTCCTCCCCAGTCCTGACATCTTCTCAGCCAGGTAACTGCTTTGTCAGCCCTAGCTGGCGTTACTGTCTTGGTCTCAGTCCTCCAAACTCTCAGTCTCAATGTCCTTTTTCCCCTCGGACTTGATCTAAGTGATACGACCTCTCTTCTATCCACCTCTGCTCTCCTTCTGAAAAGTCTCTTTTTTAAAAGTTTATTGACATTTTTAGAATAGGTGTTTTCATGTGCAAGGTTGAGGTGTTTCGTATCTGTTCTCATTTCCTATTGTTCCTGCTTCCTCAGGTATCTCGCTTCAGCTCTGCTGATCTCTGTATCTCTTACTATATTTGGTGTTTTTCACCTGGAATATAATCTCTCTTAACACCTCCCCCTCCCAAAAAAACCCCACCCCAAAACCAAGCCTAAACAAACAAAACCCAAACC